GTCGACAAAAGGCATCCCTTAATTGGCACATGAAGAAGCATGATGCAGACTCCTTCTACCAGTTTTCTTGCAATATCTGTGGCAAAAAATTTGAGAAGAAGGACAGCGTAGTGGCACACAAAGCAAAAAGCCACCCTGAGGTGCTGATTGCAGAAGCTCTGGCTGCCAATGCAGGCGCCCTCATCACCAGCACAGATATCCTGGGCACTAACCCAGAGTCCCTGACACAACCTGCAGATGGTCAGGGTCTTCCTCTTCTTCCTGAGCCCTTGGGAAATTCAACTTCTGGAGAGTGCCTGCTGCTAGAAGCTGAAGGGATGTCAAAGTCGTACTGCAGTGGGACAGAACGGGTGAGCCTGATGGCTGATGGAAAGATCTTTGTGGGAAGTGGCAGTAGTGGGGGCACTGAAGGGCTGGTCATGAACTCGGATATTCTCGGTGCTACCACAGAGGTTCTGATTGAAGATTCAGACTCTACTGGACCTTAGTGGAAAGGAAGACTTTGGACACTGGGACAGTTCAGACTTTGTATTTAAAAGATAAAAAGGACAAAAAAAAATTTAAAGCATTTAAAATCTAGTAAAATAACTGAAGGGCCTGCTCTTTCCATTGTGGATCACAGCACACACAAACCCCATCCCAAGAGCTCCCTCTGTTCTCCCTCTTATAAAATTGATGTTGCCTTTAACAGAAAGGTAGACAAAAAGCAGCAGCAGCTCTAAAAGTGAGGGTTAATCCTCATACTCAGTTCCAGCCAGCAGCAGACTTCTGCTCAATTGGCAGATCCCCTTTCCAACCTGTAACTCTGATGTGCTCTGGATCAGCTTTTGACTCAATAGTATAGTACTGTCCTTTCAATCCTATCTTCTCTTCCACTGCTGCCCTATGGTTCTGGCTTCTACCCACTGCAACACACTTATCCTCAAATACTATATAATTCTAATCTTTGGAGGCTGGCAGCTTGACTTGGCACTTTAGGGCCCCTTAACAGGATGTGCTGTTAAAGCAGCACATGTTTCTCACCCCTCTTTCTCCATTCCCTACTGGGTTTTGGAAAGGAAGGATACATGTGGACCACCTCCCTCCTCTTTGATCCCAGCACCTCATTCCCCCTCCCAAACCTTCATATGGCTCTTAATGGTGCTTATTTGCTTGGAAGCAGGCTCCCAAGAGGGAGGGGGCTGCCCTCTACACAGTCTTTTTGACTGTAAGATAGGGCTGTGTATTAGTGAGACAGTGAGAAAAGTCCCAGGCTAATGGCAGAAATTTGCACTTTGAACATGTGTGTTTTTGTGTTGTGGAACCTGAGATTCCTTATTTATTAATGGAAAGTCTGATTTTTTTTTGGGGGGAGGGTCTTCGTTGCTATATTTTGTGGGGCTGGGAGAGATTAGATCATTCTGACATGGGATCCTTTCCACAAGAGGTACTTTGAAGGCAAGGCATAGGGTTGAAAAGCACAGCCAGCCTCTAAAATCATAGCTCTCCAGTGGCCTTTAAAGAAAGCTGGTCCTCAGCACTAACAAAATCACTACAATAGCCTAGTGCTTTTTTTGGAAGCCTTCTTAGGGAAGGATAATGGGTTTGTGGTAACCAGTGTGCTCCTTGAGATTTTAAGAGCATTGAGATTTAAGGAATTTTGAGGGGATGAGGATGGTTGTTCAGGTCTGAATTACAGATATGAGATTTTTTTTTTTCTTTGAATTCCCTTTTGTCTCTATCATTTCCTTTTATATATCACCCTTCTTGCCTGTTGGTTGTTTTGGTTTGTTTTTTTGTTGTTTTTGTTTTTTTGCTTTGCTTTATCATTGGTTTGCGGCAGCTCCCTATTAGACACTGTTAGAGAAAGAACAAAGTGTAAGAGTCCTAAATAATTCAAAGAAAACTGCTGATTTGTTTCTCTTTTAGTAACACCTCAGAAAAGACTTCAGTAGACAAAGTTAGGCTATATGATAATGGCTTTGGTTTTCACCTGAAGTTCTGGAAATTACCACTTCCCTTCAGATAGATTTTCATGGGGTGTGGATTGCTTATTACTATACATGGGCGTTTTTGTACAAGCTTGTAACTCTCAAAAGATTAAAAACTTATTTTATTTTGACTGATTTTTAGAGTCTTAGAAGGGCAATTCCTATCCTATGTACCTCAGAAGCCAGAATTGAAAACTTACTTTATTTGTTTATTGTCAGAAATGTGTGATGGCTGTTGGAAAGAATGAAGTTTTGCTGAGAACAAAATAAGGAACAGCTTGTTTTTCACAAACACTAAAACTATCAAATTTGTCAGTTTTCTCTTTGATTTATTTTTTCCAAAGGGGGTAACAATGTCATCTCTGAAAGAGGCTTACTGTACACCCACTAGTGTCGGTGGTTGGGATGCCAGGGAATAGGGAGTGAGACACCTACAGTAAATAGTCTTAAATGCACTATTGTTTCAGAGTGTTGCAGATCTGCCATCTCTCCAATGTGAGGGTAGAGCATGGAATAAGGGTAGAAGGGATACAGAAAAGATAGAAGGGATGCAGAATATGCTTTCCTGCCCATGGGGAGGGGTTTGCAGTTTTAATTTGGTATGTTGAGTAGATTTGAAAATACTAAGATGGATTGAGTGGGTCTACAACAAAGTTCCGTTTTATACTGTTTCACTAACTAGCATCTATATCCCACACTTACCTTTTGTCTTTGTCACACCTAGACTTTGTCTTCATGAACTTCACTTGCACTGGTTAGTCATCAGATATTTTAGCCACCTATACAAAAGCAAACTGCATTAAGGGGGGGAAAGGCACTTCTCTGGGATGGGGGAATATGTTCTCCTTTGTATCACACTCCCCTCCCCATAAAAAGCAACTAGTTAGTTCCAATTGGAAACTCCTATCCTTCCCCTTTGTTGGGGGTGGGAGTCCTCTTTCACAGCTACCATTTGCTGACAATAAATTATTGTAGCAGTTTGCAATAAATTTTAAAATATTTTTCATGGAGTTTATATTTTTCCTTTTGAGAAAGGAATGCTAGCATAGTAAAGAGTCTATATAAGTAAACTATCTAAGCCCCATTTATGTTCTGCTCCCCCTGCCATTGTTTATTTCATTGTCTTTCCAAGGAGCTCTTTTAATCTTGAAAATCTGTATTTCATACTCTTTATTAGTCTGATTTTGTCACCTTTTTAATAACTTACCACGTCATGTTCTCCAGCTTGAATTGGCATTTCTAAATTCTGATAATGTCATTGAGATGTCACTATTCGGTATTTCTAGAAGATGTACTTCTCCCTTGCTTGTGATTGCCCAGGGTTATTTTGAACAATCTCAATATGTTTCAGGCAGTTTAGATACTGGCTGGGAGTACTGGGAATAAGAAAATTATTTAGGTATAGAAAGCATCCACATAGAGCACTTGAACCTCCTTTGTACCTGTTTGGAGGGAAAAAAATCATAAAATATACTACCAACCTAAATAAGATTATTACAGTCTCATTGTTTGCAGTACCATTTTTCCTCCTGTCTTTCCCACTTTCCAATGTACTCAAGAAAATTGTAAAATTGTAATGGATCAATTGAAAATATTTTATTTCCTGAAAGCCTTTTTTGCCTATTGTAATGTGCAGGACCCTTCTCCTTTGATGAAAGAGATGGGTAGTTAAGATACCTGAATCTAGGTTGAAAAGGTTGTGTAAAAAGAAATTATAATAAAAGGGATACTTTGCTTTTCAGATCCTTGTTTTCTCTTCACCTAGGTAAGGCATACCCACAACAAGTATGTAAAGAAGAAAATAAAAGTTGTCCTCCTGGAAGCAATTTGTCTTCCTTGGTTCTACTGAGTTAAGTTATCCTATGGGTGAAACAATTACTGCTAAATGAGAAAACAGTGCTCTTGGCACATTTCATATTCAGTGTACCATTGTTTTCTGGTACACAACTGATAGCTTTTTCTGAGAATCAGGCACTTAACATTTGACTCAGTTTAGCTCTTGATGTTTAATGCTGGAATGTCATGTGTTTCAGTTATCAACAAATTTAGAAACTTCTTTGATAGGAGCTTTCCACTAGAAAAAGTAGCCCTATATTGACCTAATAGTGGGGACATTAAGGTTGCTGTGAGATCATTAAATCACTCTAATGATGATTTTAAAAAAAACAAAAAGTCCTTAATAGCATATTACACCAATGCTTCACAAGATCTGGTATCTGTGTGGAGTCCTAACTCTTAACAGTTGACACACAAAACTATAATACTGTATAATAAACAGTCTCACTATAACAGCTTGGCTGGCCTCATATTTTCCCCATTACATCTCTATTTATATTGTTAATCTATGTAAATTTGCTCCTGAAATAGTGTGCATTTCAACTCATTGCTAGCATCTGTGGTATGAAATAGTGAAAGTTAATCAGTCCATTTGGGGATGAAACTTTTGAGACTATCCAATTAGCATCATCCTGAGTTAAATGCAATACTCTCCAAGCACCTTCTAAATCTTTTGTCCTCATTTCAAAGCCCAGCACATTCTCTTATTTTGTTAAGCATGTGGTATGACTGGGACAGGGAAGAAGAAAAAGCGTGTTGTCACTTGAGTGAGACTGCCTTTAATGTCTTAAAGCTTAGTTTCTTAGGACGGCTAGTGTTTACCCCAGAATTACTCTAAGGATCAATGAAGTTGTTTTAAAGCCTTTAGCAGAGTGTCTAATCCTTGGTAGGTATTTGATAAATGGCATCTACATGAATAATAATATTTTTTGACCACTTCATCAGGCCAAGAAAAGAAAAAGACATGGGGAGCATAAAGGAGGAGGATGATATAGTGAGCTTGATTTTAATCATATAAAATAGATTACATTAGGTAGGGATGTCCTGAGGATTAGCGTGATAGTGACTTTGTTGCTAAGTACATAAAGCAAAACAATGACATAAAAACAAGTGTGCCAAGTACTGAGTGGAGGAGAGAGATGGAGGCAGACGCTGCAGGGGAAAAAAAAAAAAAGGCTGATTAAAAAGGGCCCTTTGATTCCACAGGCACAAAAATCCACAGCCAGGAATTTGCTGCCACCTCTGAGTCAGGCAGGGGGTGGGGGTGCACAATCCCATTAGAGAATGACCAGTGGATTTAGTCTGTGAGAGTCACATTTCTTATTTGGACCAGTGTAGACAGAAGCAAACCCAGCTCACTTGTTTCTTGGGACAGTTAGGGGATGGCTTTTGCAGAGCATTCACCACGGACCCCTCGCCGACGGGACCTCTGTAGCCGTTCCATCTGGCTAGCAAGGAAGATTCGTTCAGACCTGACTGCCCTTATGGAATCTTATGTAAGTCGTCTATTTTCCCATCATGTCTTCTGACCCAGCTCCTTAACATCATATTCCAGACCCACAACCAATTATGAAAGCCCTAATCACAGTCATTCATGTATTGGATGCCTATTATTTGACATGGCCCTTTCTAAGCTCATGTGAGCTTTTACTCACATGCCTTCCTCCATGATGCTTACGAAGTCATGTTCCTTGAATGAGAAAATATATATGGTGATGTAGGTAGGATTGGCTCTGTGTCTTGAAGGCTGTTCCTAATTGGCCTGTATTCTGAATTCTTCCAGAATAGATTAACCTTGGGCCCTCTAAGTTTGTGTACTTCACAGGCATTGTTATAAATTTTTGAGCTGTGTAAATGAAAGGTTTATATGATTAGGCGGAAGAACAGTATGAATATGGAAGAAATTTTAAAATCCAAACAATACCTATATAATATTAGCCACCGACTTTTCAGTACTACACACCTAAAGTGTCCTAGTATCTGAGTGAAAAAATAAACTATCAAAATAAACCCCTGGAAGACTCCTGGGAAACTTGTGAAATTGTCAAAATTCTAAAGGTGTTCTGGTCTGGTTTGCTGATATAGGGGATCCCTATCAGTCTCTACCTTAGGCTTACCTTGGAAATACTCCAGACCATTGTGGAAAGTTCTGGATTTTGAGTTCTCTGAGAATTGGTTTATCTTTGAACAACCTTGTCAGTTAGAAATTAGACTCTGATTACCTTTTCTTTTGAAAAAATAAAAATGTAATTCCTCTTTTTTTTTTTAAGAATTGATCTCACATTCAGAGTGGGCAGTGGGAATAAAGAGATTAGGAAATTCTAAAATAGCTACTTTAGAGTTTCCTAGATTTGGCTAGTGTCTTCATGTATGTTTAAAATACTTTAACTCTCCAGTATAATTAAATATTTCAGTTTCTAGAAAAGAGTGGAAAATCTTCTAAATTAGTAGTGTATTTCACCCATTAGAACTTAATGAAAGCAAAATATTCTTCCAGGAAAAATGCAGTTATTCCATATTGGATCTTCTAAAGTCCAGTTATGAATCCCGAGTAGAATTTCTGTTCTGGACATTTTATTTTCTTTACAACTTGGATCCTTGACCAATGAGGTGAATGAGGTTTTATATGTGATTTTAAATAATATTGTTGAGGTGATCACAGCAGATTATGCCATGTTTCCTGTGACTTTGGGCAGGTGAAGCATCAGGGCCTGAACAAGAATGTCAACCTGGACTCTGTGGATGGTGTGCCAGTAGCAAGCACTGATCAGTGGAGTGAGCTAACAGAGGCAGAGAGACTCCAAGAGAACCTCCAAGCTTACCGTACCTTCCATGTTATGTTGGCCAGACTTTTAGAAGACCAGCAGGTACATTTTACTCCAACCCAAGGTGACTTCCATCAAGCCATACATACCATTCTGCTCCAAGTTTCGGCCTTCACCTACCAGCTAGAGGAGTTAATGGTGCTCCTGGAGCACAAAATCCCCCCAAATGAGTCTGACGGGATGCCAGTTGTTGGAGATGGTGGTCTCTTTGAGAAGAAGCTGTGGGGCCTAAAGGTGCTTCGAGAGCTTTCACAGTGGACCGTGAGGTCTATCCATGACCTTCGTGTCATTTCTTCCCATCAGACGGGGATCCCAGCACATGAGAGCCAATATGTTGCTAAGGACAAGAAGATGTAGCAGTTAGCCTTCTCTGTCTTCCTTGCTCTCTGTTCTGATGGAATATACATAGTTTTCTGGGGCCTCGTTTTCCCATCTTCAGTTTTTGAAAACCTTTTAAGACCACAAGCATTTCTGTCAAGTAGGATTGGAGACACAGACAAATGGGTAGAGAGGTTTACATAGCTTGGGGTGTGGGTGTGGGTGTAAGACAAATGGGAGCAGGGACAGCATCCTTCCACCTTAGTGATCTAACCATTCTACCCACTAAGTAACCTTTACCCTTGTTTAACAACATTACAGATAGGAAGAGAGAAATATCTCAAACTCTAGTTCTGGAAGATTTCTGAGAAGACTAAACCAATGAATGGACTCTGTACAGCCATTCATACTCTTAGATAATAAAAATAATAATAGCCAACACTTATGGAGTCGCTGCTGTATTAAGGCAGTGAACCAGAGGTCTTACATATGTTATGTATAACCTGTACAGCAACTCGTGAGGAAGGTGGTGTCATTCATCTCTGATGAAAAAACAAGCTCACAGAGACCATTAAGGTCATGCAGTGCCAAGTGACATACTAAGTTTGAACCCAGATCCTCACTGTAAAGCCGATGTGCTTTTTACTTTAGAGGCTTGATTATGAAACTGTCACTGACCTTCTGTCTTGGAGGGTTGGAAGGTGTAATCATCTATGTACAGTATCCTCCACACTAAAGAAGCCCTTACACACACTCATAAGTCAGCAGCAATTTTTAGTGTTAAAGGCAATATTCGTTGCCCATGCTTGGCAAAGAAGAGAAAAGCTGGAGATCGTAGATCCCATTTCAAAGATGAGGCCTACAAGACTTCTGAACCTTAGCAGTTGAAAATGTGCAGTAATACAGCCTGGTTGAAAGTGTCTGCTGATGTTCTTGGATATTGGGTTGGGCACAGCCTATACCAGCTTACTTCACATTCACTATAATTAGCAATCCAGGGATATAGATCCAAGCATTTGTAGATGATGGGTGGAATTCTACCCAAGTTAAAAAGTCACAGGACTGTCACTTCACATTCTCTGAACTTAGTCATGAGGAGAGGGTGAGGCCCGCTTTTCCCACTGGGAATGCCAGAGAGTCTGCAACAATATACAGCAAAGGCTCCAGGGGATGAAAAGCCAGTAAGTATGGACACGAATGGAAAAGGCAAGGCCCATGTTCTAATGGTACATATGTGATAGGTAATATTTAACTTGTCATTAAAACCCAAGATCTTAGATTGGGGACCTCAATTTTATTAGTCAAAGTGTCTTTACTCTTAAGTGAACCATGAGTCAGAAGGGCCCAGCTCCCATTAGGTCACTTGAGGTGAGGATGGGTGACTTGACTTGTATCCTTCCCCACGTGGGTTCATGTCCAAATTCCATGAAGTCAATGTTGTGAAAGTTCAAGGGAAGTAAGTCTCTGCCTTCTTAGAATGCATTTATGGAAATATGGGTGTATGTGTGTGTAAAAGATCAATAGTAGGTTGGAATTACAATCCCTGGGTTTAAGTATTGGGGAAATCAGTGAAGGCCAGAAATAGTTTCCAGGAGGAAACAGGAGTTGTGTCACAGAGGCTGGCTGAGTACAAATAGGAAGAAATTATAAAGAAGGAAACCGAAGAGTTGGCTGCTAGAAAAAAACTTGGGCAATAATAAACATTGGGGCCCTGGCTGCCAGCAGAGGCATGTTGGTTTTATTTCATTGGTAATATGGGTATAGATACATAGTTACCCAATACATGTTGTTTGTTTCATTCAAGCTTTTCCTAATTGAAATGGTTTCTTCTGCCTACCAGCAGCATTTTCAACTAATAATATATCTGCTTGCTTTGTAAAGCTCTTAGATTTATGCAGATGATCCATTTGCTTAATAAAAGTGTGAATAAAATTTCTTTATGGGGGAATAACTGATCGTAAACTTTCTCGATATAAAATAAGTGACCCTTTTCCAAGTGTTTTTATCGTCAGCAGATGTGACAGAGTGGACATCTGCAGAAGTGTCAGAAACCAGCAGAGCTTGGTTTAAGCTCTGCTCAGTGGCCTCTGGAGGAATATTTATGTGTAAGAGGCAGATTTGAAATGGCAGCAGGTCTGGGAAAGGTACAAGCTTTAACTCTGAGGACATAGCAGCCTATCTATATTTCAGTCAGCTCACAGAAGCAGGAAGTCTTTACCAAGTGCATTTCTCAGCACTGTGCTAAGAGCTGGGTATTAGTTTCTCCTTCAAGAAACTTCTAAGTGCCTGAAGAGAGAAGCATGGAGAAACCCCTTAGAAAAAGACAAAGGGAAAATGAGTACTTAGCCATGTAACAAAAGCAAACACTCATGAGATCTAAATGTTAAGCATTGCATTGTGTTTACCTGAAATGGATAAGTCAAATTGAATAAGGTACTGGCAATGGGCCATTGGTCCATTGTTCTAGGTGTGTGTTTTATGATACTGATAAGAGAGAACAACTACGCTGCAGAAATATATAAGTTTTAAGGATCCACAATCCAAAAGAGATTTTTGTTCTTTAGATTTTATTCCCTTGTTTCTTAGATCTCTATGTGGATAGAATATCTGGGGAAATCAATTGATATAACTATATAGAGTTATAGTTATGATCTGCATTAAATTTAGCTCCAAGCCTGTATTTCCACAGCCACCGGAAAGTCCTCTCTGCAGGGAGAGATTGTTTTCTTGAGTCCATCAAGGAATCGCATGCATGAGAGCTGATAAATTTTTCTTACATTAAAAAGGTTACTTGAGAAAGGCTTGCAAAATTAGCACAAACCTGATGGCCAAGCATTGAATAACATTAGTTTTAAGATAATCAGGTACAAGGGAAGTGAGAGTTTTAATAAAAGTGGAAAGCCATAGCCCTGACATTGCTGTTATTTTGAGCTGCTATGGATGAAAGCCCATTGGATGACTCATTGTGACCACTGGTCAGATAGGGAGAGAACAAGTATTTCAGGGTGACATATCTGAAAAGTGGCTTGAAATGACTTTTGCTTCAGAATCCCCAGCTCCTCACTGGGTACCCAAGCATCGTCTCTCTCTCTATAAAAGAGTAAAAGATGTAGGAAGAGAAAGACCTCCACCAGAATGGGGAAGGGATTGGTGAAGAGGAAGGGGAGGGAGTAGAATCTAGACTTGATTTCAGTTGATGTGTGTGTGTGTGTGTGTGTGTGTGTGTGTTCGTATGATACCAATGTGGTGTTTAGTGCAGGGCATTTTTTTTTTTAAAGGAATAATTTGGCCTCCCGCCTCATCTCAACCTCCACCTCAAGCCTCAGACCTAAGAATGAATCCTCTGAATGTTGGACAGTTAAAAAAGGGAAAAGTGGTAAAAAAAAAACTTGACCTCAGCACAAAAACTTTAATAGAACTCAGGATTACAGATAAAAACCAAGCAAAAAGATAATTTGACTATTTGATGAAATGTGTATGGGGTGTGAAAAACCTGTCTGCTTTGTAATTCATGACATAAAATATATATCTCAAGTCAATCTATTTTTAGCACATAGGAAATAAAAGATGCAAGAATGGCTAACAATAAAGTTCTCTTCTCAGCAAGACCATGAGTAGCTTCTTTTATTTCTGTGTCTTTGGATGAACAAGGGGAATTTCAAGTGATTTCAACATTGGATGAAATGTAATCCTCCCAGCCAGGGCCAGGCTCAATGAAGCGTGCTGGGTAAATCTCCATGATGCCAGGCCACTGGGCAAAATTCCCAGGCCCAGTCAACCTAGAAAAGGTTGATTGGCCCTACACCATCAGACAATGCTGCTTTTCCTTTGGATAATGTAGTCCTATCAACTAGCCTGCAAATGAGGATTTCCTTGTATGAAGTTTAATTTCAAATATATGATCCCCAGTCTAATCTTTGACTGAAAGAAAAAACCCTTGCATAGCCCATGTCTTGTTAGTTTAGAAGTAGAAATTGTGGAAAATCACATAGGGAAAAATTTTGAAAAGTTGCTGAGAGATTTTGTATTTCTATCCACATAGTCAAGATGGTATGAGGGCTGGGATTGTAACTCAGTGATACAACGCTTACTGAGCATGTGTGAGGCACTGGGTTTGATCCTCAGCACCACATAAAATAAATAAAGATATTGTGTACATTTACAACTAAAAAAATTTTTTTAAAAAAAGATAGTATGAAAGGATCATGCATTTATTTATCACATTAGGCAGCTCTGTGCCATTTAATCCTTAGAGATGCTACCTCCCCCAAATGAGGGAAATGACAATGAGCATCAATTTGCCCAAGTTCATTCCTCTAGTGTTTGACAGAATGAAGTTCTAATACTGGCTTCAAAGTTCACCCTATGACATGGGACACGTAGGAAGCAAGCTCATCTGACTCTAAAATCCATTCTCTGTCTTGGGAATTCAGTTTTCCTTAGATAAAGACAGTGCAGACTTGTGTTAAACCTTGCTCTGTAACAAAGTAGGTAAGTTTCCAAACTGGGACAGGTCTGAGTTTCCTCATTCGTGGAATGGAAATGATTACAAATAACTAGCTTCCCAGTTGTTACATAGTTCAGACAAATTAAGTACCTGAAACAACTTATAAATGACACACAAACGTCAAGTCTATTTCATGTCTCAAGTAACCTGGATTCAGGTTAGACTGGATTGAGGAGTGGGCTCAATAGAGAATGCCATTTGCTTCCCAGGATGGACCTGGCCATAGCCTAGACTTTTCCCTGTTGGCCTTTGGTCAGTCTCACAGTCTCCAGGAATCATCCCCCTTCTTGGAAAGTTGAGGCCCAGGCTGTTCACTGAATCCAGAAGATGGCTTTCACAGTAGGTGGGGTCAGACAAGTCCTGGAAAAGCCTGGCAGGCTCTCGAGAGAGCCAAAGAGACAAGCAAACCCCTGTGTTTAGACCTAGATTCATCCATGTACTCAACATCCTCCACTTAATACAGGAAGGAAAATAAACTTCATTTAATTCAATTTCTTCATTAAACAATACAAAGAGTCCAAAGAAGTTGGAAATCTGCCCAGGTTTTCTGGCTAGAAAGTGGAAGAATGAGAATTGCAGTATAAGTCTGTGGTTCCCCAATTGCACGCCCATGCTTCTTTAAACTGACTGCACAGGAATCATCTTGTATCTCTATTTATGTCCTTGCTCTCTGGCATCCAATGCCTTCTTGCTACCTTACCTCTAATGAGTCTTTGGAATCTTTAAGACTCCAGAGCTCCAAACCCTTTGGAATCCTTCAGCGCTCTAGCAACTCATGACCCAAACTTCTTTTGCATCCCCAAATCTCACCTGTATCCTAAACTGGTGGTACTATATCCCATACCTCACCTGGTATGATGGAGAAGAGGGACACATTCTGAGGAAAAGGCTAAATATGCTATTCCTTCTAGGGTATGTGTCATTTGAAGAAAGCCCCCAGGGAAGATGTAAAATAATAATAATAATATGCTGAGGCAGGGTCTTCAGATCAGATCAACTTTTATGCCACACCAATAAGCAAAGGGTTAGGACTAGTTTCTTTTCTTACCTAACAATTCCTGACCCCTGTTCCCAAAGCTTGAGGTGGCAGAGGGTTGGGGTTATAAAAATATTAACTTGAGAGGTCACTGGACAAAAAGCCCAGTATTCCCAATCTGATTCTAAACTCTAAAGCTCAATCTTTTGGAAGTTGCCTTCCTCACTCTAACCAAATTAATCAGAAATACATATCGACACCTACTTTGAGCCAATACTAAGAATATAGAAATAAATAATAATGATATTATAAGCCCACGGTGCACAAATGATGGAGGCAGGAGATGGGAAACAACCCTTGGATCAGCAAGCTTTCCTTTATTCTGCAGAGAAGTCAATCCATCTGGCTTGGGAGAGCTCATTTTCTGGGTATGGGAAATGGTCCCCAGGTTACAGAAGGAGTCTGGGCTTTATAGTTTACAATGAGGGTGAATTAATCATTGGAGACTGCGGTCATGCAGTTTGGACAGTCACGACTGAATTTTGCAGGTTAAAAAAGTAACTCAGGAAGGGAGTTGTTAAAAGTTTGAAACTTATTGTCACTGGGAAAAGCTCACAATCTGGTGTTCACTTATCTCTGGGGGCTCATTGTTACCCAGGACTTCACTATTTGCTCTTCTCCTTCAGGGACTCATTGGCAATGGGAAAGGGTGAAAGTCCAGGGCTCAGTGTTTTGGTATTCACCTCCTCCCTTCACAACCCATTGTGGTTGGGAAGGAGTAAATATTTTTTGCCGCAGTCTGGCTGGGCAAACTAACTGGGGGGTGACAAGCAACTTGTGAAGATTGATACAGCGGGAGCCGCTTTATTATGGGACAGAGAAGTATATATACCCAACTAATTACACACAGCTTAACTTAATTAACATAAACTAGATACAGCAGTCAACCATTAAGGAATCTCCATCATCTTAATGGCTGGCTGGCGTTACTTCTCAAACCACTCCTCCTGGCAAAGTGCCAGGCGCCATCTTGACTTGTCTGTGGCCCTCAACAATTTATTTTTGGTGGAGATGCTGGGGATGAACCTGGGATGGGATGAAAGTTTGCTTTTTCCCTCTGGGACCATTATTACTGGGAAAGAAGTACTAGAAGAGGTTTAATGCTTGGGTAATTTCCTTTCCCCCCTCCTGAGTTACACTGTCCCTCCATTTTTCCCAGGGAGCTGTCTTGTAGGAATATTATTTTCTATAACCCTTCAGATATTGGCATAATGTGGTCAATTTCATCCACAGTTTCTTTTCTTTTTCTTTCCTCCTCTATCACCTTTGATTCCCTTTCTCCTCTACTGTTCTCATTTCCACTTTCTCCTTTTTTTTTTATATTCCTTACTTATTTGTAATTTCTACATATGAGAGAAGACATTCAACCCTTGGCTATCTGAGTCAGGCTTATTTCACTTAGAATGATGTTCTCTGGTTCCACCCATTTACCAGCAAATGCCATTCTTCCTTATGGCTGAGTAGAACTCTGTTGTGTTTATGTGTGTGTGTGTGTGTATCATGTTTTCTTTACCAATTTGCACTAATAAAAAAAGAAAAGAAAAGAAAAATGATAATGCAAGAAAATGATACTAGCAAATATGTATACAGTATTTATTATGTGCCAGGCATTGTTCTAATTACTTTATGTGTATTAATTACATATTTCTCACAAGAACCCTGTGAGGCCGGTGTGAAGATTCTTATTTTACAAATAAAGACATGTACTCGAAACACAGCCTCTTGGAAAAACAACAGGTGCACAACCAACTCTGGTTTGTAGTTGATATGGATGACAAAGAGCAGTGGGGGCACAAAGGACAGAAGGAGAGAGAAAGCACTTCTTCAAAGAGGCAGTTTGGAAGTCACGGACTGAATTGTTCAGATTAAAATTGTGCAGGTTAGGGAGGGGCAGGCAAGAACTTTGCAATTAGAAGCAGCAGGACTAGTCCGGGCTTGGCTACTGGAAGGCATGGGGCATGTTGGGGACCATTTGGCATTACCAAATCTCAGGGTTCTTTGAGCGCGACAGTAGAAGACAAGACTGGAGGAGGGGGCCAGGACACGTTAAGGAGAGGATCATTGAAAGGAATTTGAAGATGCGGTGTATTGGGATCAACCCTCTGTTTTAGAAAACATAAGAAACATTAAGAAGATGCTAGAGTTTATCTATTCCTCCCATGGGTCAGTCACCTTATATCAGAGAAAACATTTGGCATTTGTTTTTTGGGGATTAGCTAACTTCAGTTAGCATTATCTTCTCCAATGCCACCCATTTATCTGCAAATGCCATGATTCTATTCTCTTTTATTGCTGAGTAAAATTCCATTGTGTATATATTCCCCATTTTTTTTAACCCATTCATCTACAGAGGGGCTTTTAGGGTGGTTCCACAGTTTAGCTATTGTGAATTGTGCAGCTATAATATTGATGTGGCTGTGTCCCTGTAACATGCTGTTTTTAAGTCCTTTGGGTATAGACAGAGGAGAGGGATAGCTGGGCCAAATGGTGGTTCCATTCCTGGTTTAAAGAAGATGCTAGATAATGCTCAAGGTAAGCTATGTTTTATATTTCTAGAAATGCTGGAGGCACCAGGATACAGAGATGGGCATGACATGGTCCCTGGCCTTTTGAAATTTGTATCCAGGTGGAAAAAGAACCAATCCACACACAGTCCTGTGATTTGGAGAGTGAAAAGAATGAAGTAGAAAATCAAAAGTGGGATGGAGAACGACTGAGAGTAGTAGCCAGGAAGGCAAAGAGTGGGACGCCGAGAGGGACAGTCTTCTGGGACCTGGACCCTCCACCCAGCAGTCACGAGCTGCTCAGGAACTTTCCCACAACGTCCTGGTCAGGGAAGACCCAGAGGAAAGGGCGGGCCCACTCGGGAGGGCTCATTTTCTATAGAGTTCTGCTTGGAGGAGCCTCAGAACAGCCGGTGGAGACGGGATACAACCAGGGCATTTAGGAGTTTGTGCCCCACACCCAAGAAAGCTCACCTTGACCTTCTCTAACCACTTTTGTCCCATCATCCTAAATGTGAGAATCTCAGTCCTGCAGTGAATCTCACCGTCATGTACATTC